CCACCCTACTCCCCTCCAGAGGACAAGAAGAACCAGTAGACCTGCTTGATCTCAACCTCATTCCTCTCCGTCTCCTGTTATCTCTATCCTACTGGATCACCTCGTTTCTCATTCCATTAACACAGGAACATCAGGAAGGCCAAAGTTTTCCTTTTTAAAACGACTTCCTCTTTCTCATCGTCCCAGTTGCCTTCCAACTCATCCCTACCCTCCTTTTTTCCCCCATTCCATTGCTTTCCCACCTCAGCCTTTACCTCTGACATTCCTTTTAATGATTCATATATTGTAATTGGCTTCTCTTCAAAGGCACCTTGATGGAAATTAGAAGTGTTGGTAGCAATCTTTGAGAGAAATGAGAAGATTGTTGAGGCAGAAGTTGTCAGGATTTGGGGCTTTTTTTTCAATGTAGTTGACAAAAAATATTCTAACCTGACTAGCTACTTTAGCATACATTGCCTTGCAGGTGACCCAAGAATCATACCGCCAACCTAAACTCTAGATTCAGCTATGTTGTTACACTCAATCCTAATTTTCTACGACTGTCTATTAAACTAGACTGAATCTAATGATAATTACTTTGCTAGTCTATTGAAAGGCGAGCTGAATGCAGTATTTTATTTTTCTATTATTTGTGTGTACAGGCTTTTAATATGTAGACTTTTCAAAATGAGATATTTTCTCAAGAACACTAACCTAGAGAAAACCTAGCTTTTGTAAAGAGGAGCGGATCGCAGTGTGGGTCTGGTCCGCTTCGACATGTTTTAGCGGATGAGAAGACCACAAAGATTAGAGCAGCGTCGAGCCCCCGCAGCGAATCCCTGATCCCGGATTAGAGCAGAGAGCGAGGGCGACCAGGGCCTGGAGGGACGGACTGCCAGGAGGGATTATCTTCATAATGTGCAAGAGCAGAGCAGTCACCCAGTGATGTCACTTCCTGTTTTGTCATGCCTCATTCCAGAAAACAAATGGTCAGACTCACCGCCATCCTGCTTCACTTTCCATTCCTCTAATGTCCATTTTAAACATGACAGAAACAAAAGAGCATTAGAGGATTTTCTCACTGTTTCTACTTTCTGTGGTTGTGATCTTAACTCTCTAGTTTGAGGTCAGTCTTAAAATCTGATCTGAGCACCTCAGTATCTGAGCCTCGACTCTTCCTTCCTCTGTAGTCACTTATCTATATACTGTATCTGTGGCACATCCGTGGCTGATTCTTTGCACTTTCAGAATGCTATGCATCGGGCTCCTGTTCGCTCTGTCATGGCTGTGTGTATAATATTAATAATAATAAAGCTCTGTATGTATTTCAAACTAATTTATTGAATAATTCATGTAAAATGGCTCAAGTAAGAAAAACAAAGCATGATCTCAACTGATGCATGTATGCATTGGATTGGATTTTATTAAATGGAGCTTGATTGGTGTGAAACGGAAGTGTCTCTGTATTTATTTCTACACCGAGCGTCGCTATATCACACAATGATGGGTATTCCACTTCGAACACTGCATAGTGCATTAGCATATTTAACATGAACATATTCCAGAGTCAGCAGGAGGGGTTATATTTTTATGTCATTGGGCTGGAACAGTCTGGAAATGTGCTTTTCCCTTCTCAGAGTCAAGTGGTCCACATCTGCATGTCCAGACAGCTTGTGCAAATCCACAGCAGTTTCCCAAAGACCGATGCATGATGTCCTGAGCATCGAGTACCTCAACATTCCAAAGGTCACAGCTACGCCCTCCAGTGCTCAGGATTTTTTTTTTTTTTTTTTTTTAAAAAGGCTAAAAGCCCGTTAAAAACATCTGTACAGTACAGCAGATCCCATCACAACATTGTCAGCATCACAGGTTAGAGACTGTACAGGTAGCGCCATCTGTGCATTCTTTCAAAGATCCCAAGACAATAAAAATGGTGATCCATTGTTCTCAGTAGTAATGTACAGCCCATGATTTGGTTTCGCCCACATCACTTATTATACACCAGGGGGACAATGTCTGATGAAATGAGTCCTATTCAGTACACCCTGCGGTGGCTTATTGTTCTGTACGCACCACTTTGTCAACTGGCTCACATCCTTCTGTGGACTGAATCCCACCCAGAGACAAAAAAAGTTCAGGGATTAAAAAAAAAGTTGATGCACGCATAAATATAACTTTTAGTTCTATGTCTCTTGAGGCCTGTACTTGGACTTAAAATGTTCAAAATTCAAGTGTAACCAGGAGCATTGTCAGATTTTCAGATAGCTTGGGAGATATGTTGAGTTTTCGCCAATCTCTGAACCCATCAGAGAGACGACAATAAGTCCCAGGGGGGCAATATTTCGGGAGATCCGGTGTAGCAAGTGGATAACAGGGAATTTCATCTAATTTCTGTAGAGTGCTGCAGGGATGACGTTTTTTTGTAGACCGATGCGAAAGTTAGCGTCACCCTGGTTCCCTTGACAAAAAGATCATAGAATTTTTCTATAGGATTTTAGATAACTGCAGACAATAAGCTCTGTGGCAAACAAAAGTTTCGTTCAGCAAGATTATCCACAGAAATTAACATCACTTTTATATCTGAAGTGTAAATTCAATCGCCAGAAGTTAAAAGCTAATGTTAGACAAAAGCAAACTACACCACAGTTGCATGACTTGGATGTCACCACCACAAGGCTTTAAAGCAGAATTCGGTGTGATGGCGTTCTGTTGTCTCATTTAGCCACTTCTTGGCAACCACCTTTTTTTAAGACTCATTAAAGCTTCAGAATTTACTAATTGGGAATTCACTGAATTTTTTTTTGTTGATAACAAAGAACAAAAGTCTCTTAAGCTTGTGTAACAGACCTTATTTCAGGCATCTAACCAAAAACCTACTGAAAAATCCACTGACTTTGAGACGAGGGAACCGAGGTGCTAAAATGCTAATTCATGTCCAGGTTTTAGGGCTGATCCCTGCACCACTCTATAAACAGACATCTGTATATGAATACAGTTTGTACTCGTACTCGTCGTCTTCCGCTTATCCGGGCCCAGGTCGCAGCCTCAGCAAAGAAGCCCAGACAGTCCTCTCCCCAGCCAGTTCCGTCAGCTCTTCTGAGGGAACCCCGAGGCGTTCCCAGGCCAGCCGGGCGATGTAAACCCTCCAGCGTGTCCTGGGGTGGCCCTGAGGTCTCCTCCCGGTTGGACATGCCCGAAACACCTCCCAAGGGAGGCATCCGGAAGGCATCCTTACCAGATGCCCGAACCACCTCAACTGGCTCCTCTCGATGTGGAGGAGCAGCGGCTCTACTCCGAGTCCCTCCTGGATGTCCGAGCTCCTCACCCTGTCTCTAAGGCTGAGCCCAGCCACCCTGCAGAGGAAACTCATTTCGGCCGCTTGTACTCGCGATCTCGTTCTTTCGGTCACTACCCAGAGCATGTGACCATAGGTGAGGGTTGGGACGTAGATCGACCCGTAAATCGGGAGCTTTGCTTTCTGGCTAAGCTCCCTTTTCACCGCTCCATCCTACCCTCACTCGTGAACAAGATCCCGAGATACTTAAACTCCTCCACCTGAGGCAGGATGTCCTCCCTGACCTGGAGTGGGCAATCCACCCTTTTCCAGGTGTAACAACAACAACAACAACAAAAAAGCTAACTTGTCATCACACGATAGCCGATGGGTTCTGAGATTGCATTTCAAACTTTTTATGTGCTACTTTAATGTGATTGGTCTATACTACAGGCTACAAACAGACTACACTTCCAGTAGCAATTTTGTCCCATTGTTGCCACAGATTCTGCATAAATAGGAAGATACCTGTTCATAAAGATTATGTTTTAGAAATTCCTCAACAAATGGCTTCTCGTCATTGCAGAAATGTTTTGTCTTTCTAACACTTTGCTTCATCCATGTTGAGCTCCACATTAGAGGAACCACACTGGCTGAAGAAAAGTAGAGGCTCTGTTCCCAGAAGAAAAAAGGCTTATTCACTTTCTTGTCAAGACTTAGAAGATCAATGCATCTCCATGTTTGCACGTCTACTATAAGGCTACAGCTGCCAAAAGGTTGGCTTCAAATAAAGACTTCAAAACAGCCTGGTTGTCCAAATGGAACTACGCTCACCAGCCAGCACCTCACTGAATAACACATACCATCTTGTTTTTTTTTTTGTTTTTTTTTAAGTCTATGGAATAACCAACGTGAAAAAATGACCAGTTAAGTTATGTGTTGGACTATGTCTTCAACTTTTCCAGGGGACATGTTGATTAGTGAGCTTCAGAATACTGGGATGCAGATTCTGTTACATTGGAGCAGGCTATCTGTTTCCATGTCTTCAGTCTTTCCGCTAAGCTAGGCTAACAGGCTGCTAGCTGCAGCTTCTTATTCACCACACAGACATGAGAGTGGTATTGATCTGCTCTTTTAACTCTCAGCAAAAAAGCAATTAAGCAGATCTCCCAAAAAATTCTGAACTATTTCTTCAAAGCAGACTACAGTCAGGGGCAGTAAAAGTCTGACATGTGCAACATAAGTTGGCGGCAAACACTGTCACCAGCCAAATGGCACTTACTTAACACATAAGGTTCAATCAAATAATGCAGGAGTATTCAGTTTAGTTGTAGTTGTAGCACTCTCAAAGCAACACAGTGGATAAACTAACCACTGTGTTCATCTGTTCATCTGATACCCTTTATAATGTCTTATTTGCCTGTGAGCCCATTCACCTGTTATAAATGTGTACTGCCTTGCAGCAGAACAAGGGAACTCAATGTTATGTAGTGAAAGTACAATAATCTGACATACTGAGTTGTGTAGATTGATCTTTTCCTACCTAAAAGCCGTAACAATCTAAAATTGAGGGTTATTTCACACATACTTTGAAGGAAAAAACAAACAAACCAGAATGAAGGAGTGCTGTCCTTAAACTAGAACCTTTAGGACCAGAGTTTGTGACTGTTACCTTAGCTGTTACTGTCATGTGGTAAGTAATAACGTGAATCAACCAAAGCCAGGTGGTCAGTTTCGGGGGAGTAGGCTCATTACAGTAAGTTCTACTGCTTCAAATGTAGGAAGACAGTCGGTGCAAAGAGAAAAAAAGAAAGATTTAAAAACCTCTAAAATGGTTAAGGAGGATCGTCTATGTTGAGTCAGCTAGTGCCCATGTTTGATAGTGATTCTTGTTACTGAGCTCACTTCTTCACGTCTCTTTATGAGTCAGCTCATGTGGAGCAGAGGGTGATGCTGACCCCCTCTCCTATCCAGCAGGCAGGGAACAGCTCCTGGCTGAAGGCACAGTGGAAGGCATGAAGCCTGGTCTGCCCGTCTCCGTAGTAGGTGAGCGTCCCCGCCTCGTAGTCCAGCAGCATGCCGATGCGACTGTGCTGGGAGTGACCAGCCAGGGTCTCCCGTCGGCCGTTGTGCCAGGCGCTGAGCTGATGCTCGTCCAGCTGCAGGCTCCAGGACAGTTCGTTCATACCCACCATGCACCTCTTGCCCTTTTCCTTCCTGGGGATGGTGTCGTAGGTTACCTGATAAAGAAGTGAGGAGAGGATATGGGTAAATTGTGCGCAGCATTAAGTGAACAGACTGACGTGGACTCTGACTGTCAGCATTAACAGATCAAAGTCCTCACGGTGGTGGCACAAGAAGAAAAGGCTACATACGTTCAGACTGCGGGCAAATCAGATTTAATTCTCAGGGGCCTCATTTATAAAGCTTGCTTATGTACAGAACTTGAAACACCACTTCCCACGCAAAGGTTGTGATTTATAAAAATAAACTTGGCGGGAGAATGTGCACACCTGTAAGCAAACTCTGAGTCATGCGTGCGCACATTTTGGAAGACACTGGGAAGTGGCGACGCAGATGGCGAGGTGAAGAAGTGGAGTCAGATTTTTATTGATGTCTCACACAAATTTAATGTCACGCTATATCCACCTTAGATCCACGCTATCATTGAAATTAAATCCAGCAGCCTTATTTTGCGTTTGGAGTGAGTGATAATTGTTTCATAAAAACATTGTAAAATCCAACTCAAATCCTGAATTGAAATTCTTTCTAAATACGTATTTAATCCGCACTGCCTCTAACGTCTCATTGTCCACTCTGTGAGCGCAGGAGGGGGAGAGGACGGTGCGACTGCATGGAATATATTTATTTATTTAGCTAAATATTTCCAGTGCATTTATCATGTCTCAAAATACAGCCATTAAGCACAACCGTTACACTCATTTCATCAGCCCTACTTAGACATGTGCTGTTCATGACAAAACCGGCATGAAGAAACGTGTTCGCCTATTACACTTTCACCTTTGAATTGTATTTCAAATTACACGTTGTATTTTGGGACAGGGATACCACTGGTTCATGCTGTAATTCAGGCCGGATGTCTGATCAGACTAATTGCCATAAACATATAAATACTGCGGTGACCCTCGTACGTAATTGCGCAAGATGGCACTGGCACATACTCCTTTTTCCCTCCACCTTTAATAAATGTGATTTTTTATATCGCACATCAATGTCAAACATCCTCAAATTTAAAAGCAACACATTAACTACATGTTGGTAAAGGAGTGGAAATATTTGGTCTACCTTTAGATCAGACCACCTTTTTTTTTTTGTTCTGTCACTGTCCGTGCAGTCCCACAGACACAGCTGACAGCATCAGCAGCGCTGATGTGTTGCCACTTTTTTTGCTTTCTTTTATTAGTGATCCCGCTGCTGTGGCCACCAAATAAAATCTTTCTTCAGTCCCCCACCTCCCGTTAAAGGGTCTCTAGCTCAGTGTGCAATTAGTCTGATCAGACACCCGGCCTGAATTACAGCGTGAACCAGTGGTATCCCTGTCCCAAAATGTAATGTGTGATTTGAAATACAATTCAAAGGTGAAAGTATAATAGGCGAACACGTTTCTTCATGCTGGTTTTGTCATGAACAGCACATGTCTAAGTAGGGCTGATGAACTGAGTGTAACGGTTGTGCTTAATGGCTGTATTTTGAGACATGATAAATGCACTGGAAATATTTAGCTAAATAAATAAATATATTCCATGCAGTCGCACCGTCCTCTCCCCCTCCTGCGCTCACAGAGTGGACAATGAGACGTTAGAGGCAGTGCGGATTAAATACGTATTTAGAAAGAATTTCAATTCAGGATTTGAATTGGATTTTACAACGTTTTTATGAAACAATTATCTCCACCTCGCCGTCTGCGTCGCCACTTCCCAGTGTCTTCCAAAATGTGCGCACGCATGACTCAGAGTTTGCTTACAGGTGCGCACATTCTCCTGCCAAGTTTATTTTTATAAATCACAACCTTTGCGTGGTAAGTGGCGTACGCCACTTTCAAGCCCTGTTTTGTGCGTAAGCAAGCTTTATAAATGAGGCCCCAGATCTTTAAGATAGACTGTGTGCAGTTTAATTTGCAAGTGATTAGATTGGATTTCTATGTCCAGACATCATCAACCTATTTGCATGGGTTGCTGGGGTAACGACATAGGCTTCATCATAGCTAAGCTAGTGTTGTGGCTTTCCAGTGCAAAAGCATGATTATTGGAGGTCTATTTTGCCCTTCAAACAATTGCACTCTAGAGACGCGGTGCAGAACTCTGTCTCACCAGACCAACTCAGCAATGGAGGAGGCTGGTATCAGGGTTACTATAGCTTAAGGCAAAACTGCAAGACTTTTTAAAGACTTTTTGTTGCTGCTCAGAATGAAATGTAGGACCAAAAAGAACAGAACTAGGAAATACCTGGTGTTTGCTAATGGGTTGGTTCTGCTATTTTTTTATTTTTATATACTTTATTAATCCCCAAGGGGAAATTCAATTTTTCACTCTGTTGTCAATTACACACAGGTCCGAACACACACATGCACAAACAGGACCTATATATGCACTAAGTGGAGAGATGTCAGAATGGGCTGCCCATGACAGACGCTCTGAGCGGTTGGGGGGTTCAGTGCCTTGCTCAGGGGCACTTCGGCAGTGCCCAGGAGGTGAACTGGCACCTCTCCAGCTACCAGTCCACGTTCCATATTTTGGTCCGGACGGGGACTTGAACAGGCGACCCTCCGGTTCCCAACCCAAGTCCCTATGGACTGAGCTACTGCCGCCCTATCTTGATGCATTCAGTAAATTACTTTTAAACTAGAATTAACACCTCGCAGCTGTATGTCTTTACACACATCTTGCAGCACAGAAGATCTTTACAATCAGCACAGTGTCAAGGTGGACAGCCAAGATCTGTGTCACCATTTAAGTATCTGACCAAATGTCTCCCCCTCTGTTCCAGAGTTATGGCGTTGAGTAATGGCCAGAAAAGGGTTTTTGTCCAAACATTATGAAGTTGACTTTTGATCTGTTCGGTATAAAATTTCATCACTTAATCATTATATCCTGTTAGACATTTGTGGGAAAATTTGTCATAATTAGTTAATTAATTCTTGATTATGGTCAAAAACATGTTTTATGAGGTCACATGACTTTAAACTTTCGACCACAAAATTCTAATCAGTTCACTCTTAAGTCCTTGTGGATGTTTGTACCAAATTTGAGGAAACTCTCTCAAGGCCTTCTTGAGATATTGCATTCACGAGAATGAGATGGATGCAAGGTCACAGTGACCTTGACCTTTAACCAAACAAAATCTAGTCAGTTCATTGTTGATTCAAAATTTTCTCAATCTGTTCTTGAGATAGACAGACGCATGTATGGACGGACTGATAACCCGAAGACAAAATGCCTCCAACGCCAGCGTGGAGGCATAAGAATAGATGTTACCAGTTGTTTTGAGATTTTACGATGCAATGTCAGAAAAAACAAAAAAAATGAACGTCTTAACATTTTTAAGACTTTTGAAAGACTAAGACATTTTAATACTAATTAAGGCCTTATTTTTAGATCAATGAATCCAAGGCCTTTTGAGTATTTTTTAAGGATCTGCGGGAACCTTGTGGTATATATTCTACTCCATTTTTCCTTCACTCTGGGTTTGATGTAGTCGTTGTGTTATGTTGCGAGGGATGCAAAAGACCCTTTGCAATCCAATTTGAGCGTCCAGACTGAGACACATCTATAGAAATCTAATTGGAATTACATTTCAAACCACCTCCAAATGTGGTTTGGATCTGATTTGCAAAAACTGCATTTCATTGTTTTGTTTTGTTTTTTTTGTCCAGATGTTCTAAAATCAATCTGGATATACCAAAAAACAGATTTAAGTAATTTCTCTGGGGACCATGAATGTCTGTCATGGCAGTCTTTCCAGTAGTTGTTGAGATATTTCAGTCCGGACAAAGTGGTGAATTAATAGACTGACCCTGCCATCAATACAGCCCAGAATTAATCAAGAAAATGTGATGGCTGAGTCATCCAAATTTACCACCTACTGTAGGTGGTGCCATGTGCAAGTATAATCTGTGTTTGGCAGGTAAGGGTCCCCTGCAAAAGGCTTTTTTGTAACTGTATTGTTTAAGTGCCTCAGTTGTAAACAGGGATGTGTGCGACTCTTCAGCTTGTTGATTAAATGTTGCTACCATCACGTGTCCGCACCAGGAATACTAGTCAGTTAATATTGAGATTCAAAGAGGAAAGAAAGACAAATTTGGGTCATAAACTGATTGATCTCTATCTCTCTTTCTCTTTCACGCACAAACATACCCTCTAAAACTCATGTGCGTGCCTACACAAATAGTACAAGTCTGCAGCTGTCTGTGGACGTTCAGCATAGAGTATGTCCAAACCTCACACACACTCTGGCCGGCTTGATGTCATTAGTTTGGCAGAAAATCTAGAGAAACCTGGACGAATGTGTGTGTCAACTTCGTGCACACTCATGCATGAGAGAGCTACTGCTTGAGTGTGCGTTCTTTAAAGGAAATGACTCAGGACGTTTAAAATCTTCAAAGTTTGTTAGACTTTATCCCTTTCAAGTCTCAGAGACCATCAGCCAGTGAAATCAAAGCTGCTTGCTCCAACTCAAGCAAGTAATAAGATGTTCACTATAACAGTTGGGTAACTTTCCTGAATATCTGAACATTAACAAACCACTCACAGAAGAACAGTGTATAAACACAACATGCACGGTTCTTTACCCCAAGGTAGGCCCAGGGCTTGGACACCTCCAGCTCCCAGTAGTGCTGTCCATGGGTGAAGCCCTGAAAGCAGAGCACCTGCCAGGTGTGATCAAAGCGGGCTTCGTGGGCTGGGACGGGGCGTGGCCCAGAGGTGAGGTGCTCCGCCCTACGGTTCTCCTGGGACAGAAACAGGTGGCCGTTGGCTGTGCGAGGGTCAAAGGTCAGAGAGCATCTGTCTGTAATGAGGAAGAAAGGAATCAGTTTGAAGCAGGAACACATCCACTGTGCCTGTTTCTCTTTCTGTGGTCACAGAAACAATAAGGCACTGTGTGACCTTTGCTGTCCCCAAAAATGCAGTCTGAAATGTTACATAGGACTTACAAGCACTGAGGCCTTCCTTCCCACCAGGGTGGCATGGAGCAGCTGGACTAGGAACCACAGCTAGGACTGGCCTCTTATCCTGAGGGGAACCTGGGGACCAATGATAAGCTTGAGAATACAGAGCAAACGCTGGGGAGCAAACTGCTGGCACATGAAGCCCAAGGCATATTACCGTCTTTGTCCGGACCCACAGCGGTGCTCACAGCTTTCTCCAAGTCCTCAGACACCAATTTGGAGACTCGCGACAGGACATCTGTGACGCCGTTTAATCGATCTTGAAGGTTTGATGTTACATCTGTGGGAATATCTTTGAAACGTGGAACTTCTATGACCAGTGATTCCTGTGAAGAGGTGTGAATTAGAAAGACGACCATGATGATCTGGCAGTTGATAATATTCCTCTCACCTCATGTTTGCAGATGGGACATATCTGACTGTTTATTTCTGTTGCAATATAGCTATAGTGTTACATTACAGTGTTTAAATTTAAAGAGTATGATCAGTATTTTTCAACATGGACCCTATTTTCCCATATTTGGGTCTAAGTGACTCTTTCGAAGCTGGTCGCAAAACAGGTTGCAATCGATGCAACTCATGTCAATTATGCACTGTCGATTTGTGTCAACTAAAAGTGCTTGTTTTGCCACTGACAGGCTCAGATTGTTATTTTAAATATCTGACAGTATTATGGAAAGGATCCCAACAGAGATAGACCTTTTTATTATAGAAGAAGATCTTTTTGGTTTAACCAGAACCTGCCCCGAAATTGCCATTGCCAAAACCAACAAACTCCATTTAAATAGGCAATAATTTTAGTGTGTAGAGCCAGCATATTTTCACATCTAAGGGTTTATTTCGACCAAACCAGAGTTGGTGAACAGTGGAAAGATGAGCCAAGATGATTTACGTGGGTTTCACTTAGTTATTTTTTCGAATTTGTATGAGATGTGTTTTACAAAGACAAAATGACTGATTAATTAAATGAAGTCTGAAGGGTTTGACAATAGTGATTTGGGGGTTGTTTCTGGTTAAACAAAAAGGATCCTACTCTTTAACAAAAAGGTCTATCTCTGTGGGGACCCTTTCCATAATGTTGTCAGACACTTACAATAACAATCTGAGCCTGACAGAAGGAAAAACAGGCAATTTTAGTGGACGTACATTGACAGTGCATGTCTCAAGTGATTACATTGCAGCCCTTTTCCCCAATACTGGACCAACCTCAGAAATTGCTGGTTCCAATTAGTCACAGATATCCCTTCTCAACAAAATTAGCTCTGCTTCTTGAACCATTTCCTTTCTTGGAACCTTGGAGCTATCTAGCCAACCCATCGCATTTCCACCACTTTTGCGCGTAACCACTGTAATCAAGGATGCGTCATCAATGAAAATGGTTGCACAATGCACAATAGAAGTAGACAGTGGTAGCTAAATTGTAGATTACGTTGATTACCTGCAAGCTTTTATTCTGTTATGACAGATATTTATTTTTACCTAAACCTACAAGCATGAATCAAATCTGATCACTGCACGCCCTTTTTTTGGTCTGACCATTTCTAACTTGACTTCTCACTTGACTTCACTGATGTCATCATGGTTCACACTTCAAGTCTAAAAAATCTGTAGTTTTTTGGTTCCGCCTGAGAATCAACTTTTCGGTTTCTCTACCAGTTTTATTTTTGGTTCAAATGCTTTTAAAGGTACAAAAGTAGGTACAGGAACCAGAACAGAGTAGGTTCCATGTTGGTGGAGAAGGGGTATTAGACAGAAAAACAAGGGTGAATAGGGTCCAGGTTGAAAGATACCATATGAATAATAGTGTAAAGACAGGGGTACAAACCTTGATGAGCTCTGTATCAGGGAGGTTATGTACAGCTGCTATCTGTTCCTGGGTCTCTCTGAGTTTCTGGCAACGCTCCTTGAGTTCAGCTAGTCGTGCCTCCGCCTCAGTGATGGCACCTTCTTTCTGCTCCTCGATAAAGAGCTCTGTAGCCTCCTGCTTCTCAGCAAGTATCTTTATCAAGGAGGAGAACTTGGCATTGACCCAGTTGGAAGTCTGCTGAAGAGTCACCTGTTGATGGAAAATGTAGAATTTGGGAACACATGGTAAATAGTGTCCAGTCCTATTTTCCATTTTATTCCTGGCCTTTTGATTTATCTGCGATAATATTAAGCTTTAGCTGCAGCTTTGTTAATTAAGACCTGAACAATTCTTATTGCATTTACTTGTGGTTGTACTAGGAGAATGATCAAGTGCCTGATTTCTGTTAAAACTGGCTTTAACTGTGAGACAGCTGCAGGAAGTGGTGAGTTGTGCCAATGTGGCTAGTCAAGAAGAGATAACACTGCTTGAAGAACAAAGTCTTAAAGGGACAGTTTATTTTACCTTAGCGTGATTGATATTCTCAGCCAACTCATTTATACTTTTCTGCGTCTCTTCCGTGAGTTTCCCCACCTCCTTGCTCTTCCTTTCCAGCAGCAGCTGTAAAGAATACACCTCAAATTGAGCTACACAATCACAATCACAGTGGCCTTTGTTGATGGAGTAGTAAATAAGTAAGTAAGTGGACAGTGGAATGACAATCTATGTTACAATACCAGCTAAGCAACAATGGTGGCATTGTGTTGTCATACCTCTTGATTCTCCCTTTCTGTCTCCAACAAGACCTTGTCGTGGTTCATGCATTCACAGATGCCACACTCGTAGCACACAGACATTTTGTCCTGCCTGCAGTAATAAACCAGAGGCTTTTTATGGCGATCACACAGCAGCATGGCTCTTGCCCCTTCACCTCCCCTCATGAGCGCCTCTCTACAGGAGGGGCCGGTGCTGTTTGCAGCCTCGGTCAAGACCGACAGAGACACATTACGCTTGAGAATGGGCCTGGACTCAAACTCCTCATTGCAGAATGGGCAATGAGGTCCGATGTCAGACTTGCTCTTGGTGTCCCAGTGAGTGGTGATGCATTTTTGACAGAAGGTGTGACCGCAGGGGATGGTTACAGGGATCCGGAAACGCTCCAGGCATATGGCGCAGATCAGGTTTGGATTCTGAGACTCCATCTCTGAAGGAAGAGAAGACACCTCTGTGGAAAAAAAGGAGAAAAAAGGCAGAGGTCAGTCATGATGTGAGAGAACTCCAACATATCAGTGTATCATATCTGTAACACACCATGACATTAATGTAACTTCACTGCTTAACTTCTGTCATTAAGAGTGTAATGTCACATTTTAAGCCCTTTATATAAACAGTGTCTCAAAAAGGCAGAAAAAACTCATTCAAAAATGGCCCCAGTTTTTCGTTATTGACAAAATTAGATTGTGCAACATCAAAGCCGAGGTTCTAGCAGCAATACAAGGCTCAGCCCAAATGATAACGTTGGCTACCACACAATAACTTAGCCAAGTGGAAGGAAAAGCTAACGTTAGCTCATGTTAGCCTGGTACCAAGTCAGCTCACGTTAGCTAGGACTCTTGTGGACCAATAATAGTCAAAATATTAAAACAGTCTGGTGATATAACTATAAATTAGTGCACACTTCTACACTCAACGCTGTGTATAACACAATACAACACAGTGATAAATCTTACCACTCTTACAGATACATTCGTGCACAGCATCTGTGTGAATACTGAATATCGTCAAATGTAGCTTCCCTGATGACGACAGACGCAAAAATGACGCATTCGCGTGCTGTCGGGAAAAAACGAATGTAAGCCATCCAGAAGAAATAAGTTACATAGTTATTACTGTGTGATAACTTACATGGTGATACATGCAACACTGCTGTTGTTACAGTGTAACAGTTGTTACGGTGATATTTGCTGTTTGTTGTCATTCATTCGCTGCATTGTAACATTACAACAAATTCTATTTAGTTTAACCATAACTGATAATGACCCACAAACACAACACATAACGTTATAATATTGATTGTGTACGATAGAGTCGTGCTAAAATAAAGAAAACAAAACGCTAGCTACTACAATTACTCTGGTTTAATATTTTTTATGTTTGTTTATTTTTTTTAATCAGTTTAACCTTTTACTATTTATTTATTTTCTTTATAATGATTTTAATTGAAAATGCACGGAACAAGTACTATTAGCATAGAAAACGTCCTATAATAAATTATTCATTACAAAGGAAGTGCTTTTAACTTTATGTTTTCAATGGAAATGTAATATTAAACAAAAAAAGGGGGAGAAAGAAATGAAAATAATAATAAAATGAAATAGATAACATACAAGGGGAAATATACATACATATACAGTAGTTAACCGACACAGTGGGAAAATGTATTAGAATATCATATCACTTCTGGGTTTTAATTCCTTTACTGGTTTTAAAGATTTTATGTACAGTTTAAATTCCTTCAAAGAAAAAAAAGGGCAGTGATTTCCGGATTTTGACGTTTAATTACATAACAACTCAAATAATTAATTGTTGTTTTTTTTTTTAACTTGATCCCAAATGCAATATCGTTTCTAGAAATAAAACTGGTAATTATGCGATATTTTGTTATATCCATTTGTAAATTCCAAGCCAAAATGTATGTATTATACACTACATGAGAAAAATATATGGTCTTTGGTTTCAATATGAAACAAAATAAGCACATATTAGCATCGATATTAAAACGTGGGGCCTTAGTAATTCTTTAAAATGATAAATATAATGATCTCATCATTGTATATGAAATGTATGTAATGTATAATCTCATTCTTTTGATGTGTTCCTGTCACTACGGACTACTATCGAAACAAAAAACGTTTAAACGCGCACTAACTCTTTTTGCCTGTCTCGGCCACCGTACCTTCTGGAAAAAAAAGGGGGAAAAAAATCACTCCAAGATGGCGCTGCGCACGGTTAGTGCTGCTGCACTGCTCACTGGGAAAGATTTAGGGGTCAGTAATGCGAGGACGTTCGTCACAACAGGTATTGTAACGACATTACTACATTACATTATTTTTACATGTTAGAAGTTGGTGCCCATGCTTTAGTATAGCATGTTTGGTGTGTACGTCAGGTTACAGCAGTTTGACGCAGACCCTCGTTACATGCTCTGCTCCTCTGTGGAGAGACACATTACGACAAACTCCATCAAATGTGACAGATAAATGTGAACTTAATGGTGCAGTGGTCGGCAAAGGGAAACATGCGAAGCCCAGCCCAATAATAGCAATAATATTAGCGCTGATAGACAGTTGTTGATAGACAGTATATTAAGTACAAATTGAGGTAGGCTACTTGTACTTGAGAATATCTACAGTATGCTACTTAATACTTATACTTAAAAGATTCAGGATCATTAGTCCAAAATATATACAATAAATAAATAAATTATGATTTATACCAACAAGGCTTTATTGGCATCCACCGGAAAATTCACAAGCTACCTAGCAGTATAATAATATATACAGTCATTAAAATTAGCCCTACCTCCACCAGCTGCACCAGTGAACTGGACTTGTACTTATAACAGATTATTTCTACAGTGTGCTATTACAGCTTTTACTTAAAGAGACCGTTCACCCCAAAATCAAAAGTACATATTTTTCCTCTTCCCTGTAGAACTATTTATCAGTCTAGATTATTATTGTGTGAGTTGTTGAATGTTGGAGATATCGGCTGTAGAGATGTCTCCTTCCAATGTAATGGAACTAGATGGCACTTAAAGGCTCAAAGTGCCAAAAAATAAGTTTGAAAAACTCAACAGCAATGTGTCTTTCGAGAAATCATGACCTGGTTACTCAAGATAATCCACCTGTTGTGAGCAGTTTCATGTAGGAACTATTTTCTTTCTACTGAACTACTCCTACATTTATGTTTACATCTTGCACTCTCAAGAGCATGAGCCTCTCATCCATGAGTAGATCGTTATGAGCAGTTTTATGTACAAATTATTTCCTTTCTACTGAACACTCACCAATAATGTTACCACAAAGAAGAAAAGTGAGCATTTACTCATGCATGAAAGGCTCTTGCTCATGACAGCGCAAGATGTAAACATTAATGGCATCCTCTTTGGCTGAGCTGTAATGTTAGCTAGCTCAGTGATGCTAGGTGAGCTAGCAGCAGATGAACGATTCCTTCTGCATGGTGATTCAGTTGGTGGGTGTAGTTCGGTTGAAAGAAAATAGTCACTGCATGATACTGCTCACAACAAGGTCTGTGGATTATCTTGAGTAACCAGGTCGCGATTTCTGGAAAGAGACATTGGTAATAAGTTTTTCAAATGTATTTTTGTGACGCTTTGAGCACCACAAGCTGAGTGCCATCTAGTTCCATTATATTGGAGAGAAGGCAAACATCTCTTTGACCGATATCTGCAACACTTGACAACTCACCCCAAATCTTGATTTGGGGGTTGAACTGTCCTTTTAACAAAAATCTGAGTAATACTTCTACCACTGCTGATAGGGTTATCCATCGTTACATATCGGTTACCATTGACACTCTATTTTGGGGATTAGTTCCCATTATTAGTTTAAAGAAACCAATAAAGAACCAAACATGAAAGGTGAAAGAAGTGCTTTGTAACTAACTAACTGTTGGGGATTCTTCCACATGACAGCATTCCTCTGCAGACGGGTACCTCCTTTGGGTCCAATGCCAAATGAGGACATTGACGTTACAAAGCTGAAGTCGTTGGAGAAGTGTCGCAGCTACAATCGTTACTTTAGACAAGCTCAGGAAGCAAACAACAAACCCGTCTGGTGGAAGACCTACAGAAGCTACATGGAAAAAGCTGATCCTGAGCATGGTGAGCACAGGATGTTGTGAACACGTCATGGCAAAAATGATCAGGCAAGTTCACAGTCTGAATGAGTCTTGTGTTGTTGCAGGTGCAGAGCGAGTGGACATTGGACTGCCATACTATCGACCCAGTCGAGAATATAGGGAGAAGAAGCAGCTGTTGAAAGACAACAAGAAGAATGTTGAGCTGGAGAGGGCTTTACGTCTGCGCACTTGTAAGCTCACACCTACTTACCCTTAAGTTAATACCACAGCCTTTAATTGATGAGTGAATAAACAGTTTTTTTCAAACTCTTTATCCCACCAGTTAAGATCCCTCTGGATCGAGTGCAGGAAACCTGGGAGAAGAGAGCTGCTCCATTTCATATAAAGAGAGTTGCAGACCACTACGGAGTCTTCAGAGATCTCTTCCCCATGGCATACTTTCTGCCTCATGTCCCACTCCGCATCTGCTATGGCCAAGACAACAGTGGTCAAGTGTATTATGGGAATCGGTTGACACCAACAGAAGTACGTCAAAGGACTGCAAGTTGTGCAGTGTCCTGATCTCGCCTGTAATTGATATTCTAAGGGTCAATGCCACCAAGTTAAACTTTTTTTCTGTTTATTTTAACACATCATCCCTACCCTGCATTCCATATGTGTTTCATTTTATTCACTTTTCTGCTGTGTACCCACCATTTTGTGTCTTCTCTAACTATATTCTTTGCCCTGTCTTTGCTGTACTTTTGTGTCCAGGCAGCATGTGCCCCTCAAATCAGCTTCAATGTGGAGGAGGGCTCCCTGTGGACCCTTCTGCTCACTTGTCCAGGTCAGCATCAGCTTTCACAGGAGGTTACCACTAGATTGTGATTATCAGCAACTGTCTACACTGCCTGTTAGGGATCAACACAGATTGTTGATGAATTCTCAGCTTTTTCAGACTGTCTAAAATGATTCATTGTTTTTTTTTTTTTTTCAGATGAGCATCTTCTGGATAATGATGCAGAATACATCCACTGGCTAGTGTGAGTACTTGAAGTCACTTCTGCTCTTAGTTATAAGCAAGTTAAAGACAACATGAATTGCATTTAGTTGCTTTACAGGGAGACTTAAAAGTACAGTATCCCACTGTCTAGCTAATCGCCACCACTCTTCACTGCTCTCATATGGCTGGGGATGAACATGAGTACCCAAGTGCTTGAGTACTTGATTTGGATGTCAGAATTTCTTTGATGTATAGAGTACTCGCTGCCCAACCTCCCACATGTGAACATGACTTTTATATTTATACATATATATATATGTATATATGTATACTTTTTTTTACTATTTAAAATGGGTAAAATTTCATTTCATTGTGGAGCTGCGTGCAGTGTATCTCTTCACTTAGCACCTCTTTGCCCCGCTGTCGCTCTCTGTTTATACTCTGTTTATAATGAGACGCTTAGAGACTACTGCTGCAGGAGTGTGAGCTCTGCTCCGGGACAGTTGGTGAACAAACACACACAGTGACAGGGCTAACAGTTAGCATCACAGGGCTAACATTATCTAACAGTTATTATCTAACAGTTACTAACAGGTTTAGCGGGTTGTGTTAGCTTGTGCTAACTGGGAAATGGATCTTTTGTTACCTTTGATTTTATGGTTTAACAGACTAATTAAAGCCTGATTGTTCAATACATGAATTTCAAATTGCACTTGTTTTCTGTTGTTGGCCAATTTACATTACTGTTCTTAACATTTTACTTTTTTTTGTGAGTACTAAAATGTGGAAACTACTTAAAATGCCTGTCCCTACATACAGCAGTTACTGCTGATAATAAATTGTTGCATAGCATTGTGCCACACTGTCAGCTCTTGTTAAGTACAGTTTGTGCTGTTAGCACCGTTGGCTGCTAGCCGCCAACTCAGCCACCTCCACGTTGAGAGCCATGTGCAGGCAATCCCGGCCCAGACTCTGAATCATCAATTTGCTCTGAATGTCGTATACAGCTCCTTTGAAGTCAGAATTGAAGTCAATTTTTCGCCACTACACTGTTGAATGACCTGTGTGTCCATAGAGGGAACATACCAGGCGGAGCAGTGCAGGCCGGAGAGGAGCTGTGTCACTACCTGCCCCCTTTCCCTGCCAGAGGAACAGGCTTCCACCGCTACATTTATGTCCTCTTCAAGCAAGAGGGACCCATCAACTTCCAGGAGGATGTCAGGCCATCGCCATGGTGAGCAAGACACTCAAATGCGGTGCGGTGACACTAACAAAGCAAAATACTGTTTTGAGTGAATAACGTCAGCTTAATTTATCCAGACTCCAGAGGCTAGTTTGCACATTACTTAATCACAATGCTGCGCCCATAGGTGTGAGCATTAATGGTTGTCTGCCTCTGTGTGTCAGCCCTGTAATAATCTGGTGACCTGTCCTGACCCTTAAGAGGGTACGCGGTTACAGGAAAAGGATAGCCAATGAAGTCATTAATCACAAGGATTTTCTTTAAGTTACATGCAGAACCTTTAAGCATAGTGTGTGCCATTGTCAGCAGCCATGTAATCTTTCAGTAAACTGTATTTATAACATCAGAGTGTCTTAGTTTATGTTTAATATAGCAACAAAGACATTAAGCATATGTTGGCTCTCCCCCTCAGCCATTCTCTGGAGGATCGTACCTTTAAGACACTGGATTTCTACAGAAAGCACCAGGACAACATCACCCCTGCAGGCCTGGCCTTCTTCCAGTGCCAGTGGGATGAATCTGTCACCAACACCTTTCACACGACACTCAGTGAGTCACGCTAAGGCTCACAAACACAGCACAAGTTCGGTCTTGTGCCATTTTTATTAGCTTTCCTAGATTGAAGGACAAAAAGTTTGTGTGGTAGTTGCGTGTCTTTTAATTAATGATGATAACCGTCTGTTGCAACTTCTCCCTGCAGACATGAGGGAGCCAGTGTTTGAGTTCATCCGGCCTCCAGTGTACCACCCTCCACAGGTCAAATTCCCTCAGGGACAGCCCCTGCGGTACCTGGATAGATACAGAGATGGAAAGGAGCACACCTATGGAATATATTGATTATGAGACACGCATTCACAGAAACACACACACACACACACACACACACACACACATTACCCTGCAAATCTGTAGTGATGTCTGGCATATTTATGTTTACCAATAAAGCATTTTTCAACTGTGTTGAGATTGATTTGTTTATCCATCAAAAAGGTTATGATTTTGGTCCAGTTGCATCAAATGTCTTTTAGTTAGTTGGAAACAGACAGCAGGATATTTTTGATATTTGTTTCGATACAATTAGATATAAAGTTTGGGTGAAGGAACAGGTGTTTGATTCAAAGTTGCATCCCTGGATGTGCCGCAACACATCATCAGTGATGTTACCTGAGGTCATTGTGCGTTTGAGGTCTTTTAACATCATAAACGCTTGCTCAGGTGACCCTGCCAGGGTTGACCTGACTGTCCCAGCAGCATTGGCCCAAAGATTAGTTTTTTTGGAAGATTTCTTTTGTCAGTCTTTGTTCGTTCTGCTCTCATTTGAACAATTCTACATTATTGTAATAGACACAATTTTCTTATAAATTTATAAGTGTGAATTTGTGTTGAGTACCAAGTACTGAGTATCAGTCACAACAGGCTAAATGAGCGGTTGTACATATGGTTTTTGGTGTCAAGCAAGTTCATGAGTCCTTGAAAGCATGATAAGACACAACACAATAACATATGGTGATATATCAGGACAGTTAAATCTCAGATTGATTGCCTGGTGCAGTCTGCACTGACAATTAGAAGTGAAAGGTTATCCACTTTTCCAGGGTTCTTTAAGTAGTCCAGAACAAGTGTACTTTGGCTTCGGTGTAAAATGGCTGCAGTATGTTTTGCAAACCACCAGGTGCCACTGTGCTTGCAGATTTTAAAGTCTCACAGCTTCAAAGCCCCAAAGCTTCACAGGGCCTCATCCAGCAATCACACATCAGTAAATGAAAGTTGAAAGTAAATCCCAGCAGAGTTTTGTACTTCATCAACCTGAGGAGCAGATATCATCAGCCTCAGTAACTGCAAACACATATGTGGGTATGCATGCTTGTGGCATGGCTTTAGGGATGGCAATGCCTGTCTCTCCTCATAACCTCTGCCATTAAAAGGTAACTGATACATTTAAATTAGGCTCCTGTTTTCCCATGTTTTTTATGTCTAAGTGACTAATGGGAACAAGAGTAAGATGCTTTTTAAAACCAGAAATAGCCCCAAAATCACTATCATCAAACCCACCAGACTTCATTTAAAGAAACAGTAATTTCATCATTGTAAAACACACTTTATACAAAGTGAACAGAAACAAAATAAAACCCACAAATGCCATTTTGGTTCATCTTTCCACTGTTCCAACAATCACCAGCTCTGGTTTGGTTGAAATAAACCCTTAATTCACCCAGTTAGATGTGAAAATACGTTGTCTCTATACACACTAAAATTACTATTTATTTAAATGGAGTCTGGTGACTTTAGTGAGGGTGTTTTGGGGGGTTGTTTCTCGTTAAACAAAAAGGATCTTACTCTTTATCATAAAGGTATATTTCTGTGGGGATCCTCTGCATAATGTTGTCACTTGAAATAATAGTCTGAGCCTGTCAGTAGCGAAAACAAGCACTTTGAGTGGACGTAAATTGAGGGTGCAAACATGCCCTGAGTGGTTACATGACAGCCTGTTTAATGGCCGCCAGCTGCAGCCCTCTCACTCAATACTGGACCAAATTTCAAAACTGATGTTCACATTAGTCACTTAGACACAAAACTATGTATAGAATAGCCTATACCCATTAAACCTTTCACATCCTTTCACAACAAAGCCATCATAGTTCTGGACAAGAAACCACAAAGATTTCATGGGCTTGGCCCAACTTTTTTTCCTTTTACATATCTTGTGTGTGTGTGTGTGTGTTGGGGTGGGGGTAGGTCACTTTCTGTAGCTGTCATCCTTACAAATATATTTCTTCCATAGTGGTCTGAAGAGGAAGGATATCTCTTAAATGTCCTTACTTTCCCCCCTTCTTATGGATCTTCCTCACTGTTTGGACCTAACCTGACACTCTGTTTCATATTAGGATTGCTCCTTAACATAAATCCACAACAAATAATGTTAAATAACTATGTAAAGCTTTCTCATAGTTTTACAGTCAATGCGTATTGCATTTGACACATGAAGGGCTGAATCTCATCTAACACTCTCTGAGGAGAGAGCCAATTAGAGCTGATCAGCCACAGCTGTGCCACCTGCATGAGGGTTTTTGACCTGGCATGCTGAATAGCAAACACTTTCTCTTGGTGACTGAAGCAATGGGAGCTGTGTGGACATTGCTGTTTTGTCTGCTGACTGTTTGGCTCGTCAAAGGTTTCTATGTTTCTTCTGTTTGAAGCTTGTGTTTAAGAAACTGGTGGTGGAGTATACCAAATGTAGAGTGAGGCTAATAACTCATTCCTGAATTGTTGTTTAGCTGTAACAAGTTGTGATGAGTGCCATCAGACAGCAAAAACATTTGATTAACCTCAACTGCACTGTCTATAGGCTCTTGTTTGCCAGTTGATGGCACAAATGAAGGACTTGATGTGCTGCAGAGGAGAATAAGAGGTAAGAACAGCAGTGATAGAAGCTATATGGAGATACTTTCTGATATTAATGTATTTTTTTCTTACACTCCAGATGTGTCTCCCAATGATATCTCCATAAAGAAGGCCCTTGCACTTCTCGAGTCAATGGAGACCATGTTGGAGCATAATGCTAAAGAAGGTGAGCAGGCTCTGTGAAACCCTATCAGACAAATGAAAGCGTGTGTGTAGATCCTAGGCTCTGTGTCACACTGGTTCGTTAAGGTTTCAAGTTGTTGCTTTGTTTGGATACTGGAATTCCAACTGTGTCTAATTAAAGCTGCACTGATGATACAATAGCAGGTATACAGCTGCTATGGCTAATTAAAACCATGCAATTCTTTTACAGTACAGGTCTACTTGCTTGCTGTATGTTTATTTGTTCTGTCATGTTGTAATAAAACCAACCCCACTGAACTGACAACCAGTGTTAAATCTTCACAAATCAAAGTCTAGCACTCAGCTTTAAAATCAGTTTTTAAAGCAATGTTTTTGAGTAATGAATTCTTACAGTAGTGTAAAAGTCTAGAAAATGAACATCACTAAGTTTCTTTTTGTTCTAAATTGTCTAGTGAATGTCTTTCAGTACAACTGGAAACCAATGAAGTGGAAGCTGAGGCATCAGTCGGTCACCTGAAACTTGTACAACAGACTGGCCCAAAAGAGCTCAAAACTCAGAAAGATGACTACAGTTCACACATGGCAAACGGCAGCATGACTCCACCAGCCAGCTACCACCACAACAATGTAACTGTAGCCAACAGCTTGAGGAGCAACAACGTGACTGCGGCTAGTGACCAGGA